GGGGAGCTTGGGGTGCCGCTTCCTCCTTGCTCACTCAGTGCTCCCCACTTTCACCCATAGTTTCAAGGAGGAATCTGCCCTTCAGGAAGTTCATGCCTCAGCTGGACAGACACCGCGGCTGAGGCTGGGAGAGTGAGAGCGTGGGAGTGTGGTGTGTGTGTGTGTGCAAGTGTGTGAAAGAATGAGTCTATATGCGAGTATCTGCCTGTATGTGAGGCTATGTGTGAATGTATGTGCATGTAGAAAATGACTATGAGTGTATGAGGATGAGTGTGAATGTACTTGTGCTGTGTGTGAGGGAATGAGTGTGTGTGACTATGTGTGAGTATGGGCGTGAGTGAGGTGTGTGAGTGAGAGTGGGCTGGGTTGCAAGTCTGGGGCCCTGAACCGGGATCAGCAGGAGGTCTGGGCTACAGGAGCCACGGGAGTCCCATGAGCCATCCCGACCCAGCACAGGTAGGAAGGCCCAGCGAGGGAGGTGGCCCAGCGGCCGGGGCCGCCACGGAGACCCCCTTGCCCTGCACATTTTCAAAGGCCAGGGGCTCCGTGCCTCGCCCCGGGGCAAGCTCCCTGTGCCTCTGCCATGCCCACCCGGCGCTCAGAGCGCCTCTCTTGGGCCAGGAGCCCCGGCCCCGCCTGCCCCTCGCGCAGGTGGGGCGGGCGGCTGCCATGCGATCAGACGTCGGTGCTGATGCTGCGGCTGCGGGAGAAGGCCTCGCGCATGGCCGAGAGGCGGTTGGGGTTGAGCGCCTGCAGGCCCCCGAAAGCGCCGGGCGGCAGCTCCACGTCCTCCTGGCTGATGCTCCGGTAGGCCACGCGCTCGCCCCCGTTGCGCACGCCCTCGTCCTCAGGCTCTTGCAGGAAGAAGGTGGGCGGCTCGTAGTAGGAGCAGCTGCGGCAGAGGGCGCGGGCCTGCGGGGACTTGTGGCTGAAGGAGGTGGCCGCGGCGGGGTAGAGCGCCGGCCCGTTGGTCAGCACGAGGTTGCGGTTGGAGTGCAGCGGCGGCAGGCTGGAGTGCACCGCGTAGTCGGGCTCCTCGTCGTCCTCGTCCTCCTCCTCGTCTTTCTTGCAGCAGTAGTACTGTGGACAGAGGGGCCGGTGACAGCGACGCCCCGCCCCAGAGCCCACACGGGATGCTGCCCACGCGGCTTCCCTCCTCTCAAGACCAGCCTCCTGCTCTCGGGGACGATCCGCCCCCCCACCCCTACCCCCGTGGACTCCGCCCTCGCTCTCCGAAATGCCCTGCCCACCAGGAAGACCACGCCCACTGCTCTCAGGACGCTCCTCCCCCTCCTGCCCATCCCTGCTCTCCAGCACACCCTGCCCCTCCCACAGACCCCGCCCCGTACCTGGAGCCGGCAGTAACACAGCACTGCGATGATGCAGAGCAAGATCACTGTGGCCAAGATGCCCCCGGTGATGACCACGGTGCCGGCTGTCATCCGCCCCCTTCTCCATCAACAGCCTGCAACACAAACCACCTGCGGCCTCACCACCTGCGGCCTGCTGCTTCCCAACCCCCAGGCTGCGCAGCACTGGGGGAGGCGCCTCCCGGAGGCAGGAGGACCACCCACCCCTGCCCGGCCCTCCCTTTTCACACCTCCGTGGACTGCGTCGCCTGGGCGTCACTGAGCGGGCAAACCACCCACATCACTCGGTTGCTAGCCGGCTGCTGTGCTCCGCCCCAAACCAGAAAACCCCAAACACGGCCACTGGGTCATGCTGACTCAGGTTTCCCAGACTGGGGTCTTTCCCCGTGGAGCGGCTGGTGCTGTCTACCTGCTGTCCACGGACATCCTTACTCTTCCCTCTTGTCAGATGCACTTTCTGCAGCATGCTTCCAGCTGCTTCACCCCGACTCCTTCTGGTCTGCATGCACCGGCACGCAGGCAGCTGGGACATGTGAGGGTGCAGGTAGTCCACCTTGGAACTTACCTGAGTCACCAGGAACTGCACTTACTACCCTCCTTCTCCTTGTACTTTTTGAACATCTTAATTTCAGTTACACAGCAATTTTCCCGTGGCTCTATTCTCAGGGGTTCACCTGCAGGCCTTCCAGGGCGGGAAGCTGGACACTCTGCAGCCCCCGCACCTCTGATTTCGGTAGGAACCAGGTCTGGGTCCCGACCGGACTTGGCGCTTTGTTCCAGAAAATGCTTCCCTTGTTCACTTGAAACCAGGTGTCGGACTGACGCAGAGACCTGGGGCCACAACCCCGCTGGCCCTCTGGGTCCCACCTGTCTTCCCAAAGGTTGCCAATGGATTCCCACTTGGGGTAGAACTTCCCACGGGGTCTCAAGGTTGTGGCTTTTTGGAAGCTGGGGCCAGGCCCAACTTCCAAGGCAGGTGTGTGGAGTGTGTGTGAGGGGCTTGGTTAAGTTGCCCCCCTCTTCAGCTGGCTGTTCCAGCTGCCCATCTACACCTTCTCTTCCTGACGTCAAAGGCTTACGGTTTTCAAATGTTCTCCGTGGTGTTTCAATAAGCATTGCTGCCGCTCAATAGTGGGGCCTTCCGATTACAGAGGGGAGCCCTGGTGACGAAGCGGCTAAGCACTCAGCGGTTGGAACCTGCAGAGCCGGAGTCCCCAGCAGCTTATGGGGGCCGTTCTCCTAAGGGGTGGACGCCACAGCAGGGGGTGAATTAGGGGACCTGCTTTCAGTGCCTTTTCAGGACAGATTCTTACAAGTCTGGCCCCCGCCCAGAAAGTCTTCCTGATGGGAAATGTTGGGCAAACCAGATGGAGAGATCGGCCAGGAAGCAGGGGTCCCTGGCGCCACCTCCCCAAGAGTGGCCCTCGCTGAAGTCACAGTATCACCAACCCTGCCATGGACAGCTTCAAGTTACCCAGGGAAACGGACTTAGCATCTGGGGCCCCGGCCAGTCCCTGCTGGACACGAGTGGGCACCGAACTGCAGCCACTGCGGTGGACAGGGAGGAGTCGGTGAAGAGAGGGCCTTTCTCTAGACAGGTACAGTGAGGAAGACTACGTGAAGTCGCCCCTGAGGAGGGCTGGCCAAGCGCCAGGGGGGCTCAGTCCAGGTGCAGGGTCAGTTTCTGTCCTGGAAGGCTGGACCCTACCCTGTCCCCACAACCGTGGGCACTCGGCCCAGGCCCACAGGGCAGCAGGCTGTGGTCTGGGGCTCTCTGACTCAGGACGACCTGGAGGGAAACCCCTCCCCTGCAGGACAGTGGGCTGTGCCCAGTGATCGCGGAGAGTGGCCCCCATGTGCCCACATCTCCCTACGCTGCCATCCCCCTTGCAAAGTGGGGATAGCACTAAAGTCCATCTGAGGTTTCGTGTGGGCCAAAGGTGGCCCCACCAGCCTGGCTCTGGCAGCCCGCTGCTCTCCTGGGCCTGGTTCTCCAGGGCAGACAGCCTGGTGGTGAGCCAAGAAGGGTGCTGGCCCAGGCTAGGCGCCCAGGGCTGTCAGCAGCCCTGACTCTGACACTGGCGCCCAGTCCAGCTGGACTGCTCTGCAGACAGGCCCATGCTCGCCGCCGTGAGGCAGCGAGACCCAGGGGTGGGTGCCAGGCACTACAGACAGACACACATGTCCTGGCCCGACATCAGTTGGCCCCAGAGAGGGGCTCCTGCCATCTGCTGCTCTTGATGTACGAGCCTGTCTTTCTGGCCTCCTCCTTCAGGAAGTCTTCCTGAGTCCACTCTCTCTCATACACACATGGGCACACACACACACACAGCTGCCCGGAGCCCCTGTCCACTCAGCAGGGAGAACTGTTATTGGTTCCTTGCCTGGCCACCAGGCCTTTCCTCAGAAGTACCACGGTGAGCTTGAACCGCCGACCTTTAGGTCTGTGGTGACCACGAGTTGTCTACCACTAGGACCTCATGCATATCTCAGAATCTCACAATGCCAGGGCTGGGGCCCTACCTCCCCTGCCACCTATCAGCCGTGGAACAAGACGGAGGTTGAGGAGGACTGGGCATGGGGCCCTCCTAATCCCACACCACGTGAGTGGGCAAGATGCCTCCAGGGGCCTCTCTCCCAGCTCCCGGTCTCCCTCCGGGCCCCCTCGGCCATGACATGTGACATGTGACCTGCACCCGAGGGGCCTGCATCCTGTCATCTACCCAAAGGTGACCCTGGGCCAGCGGTCTCCCTCTTCGGCCTTGTCTCCTCTGCTGAGGAATGGGGCTGGCCAGCCTTCTGCCGGCTGCTGTCTCACTGGGTCATGTGTCAGTCCCCCCCAGAGGCCAGCCCTGCCCTTGAGGCCAGAGATGGGACAGGCCTGCAGGGGAAGGGACATGCAGCCACCTGGGGGCTGGAGAGGGACGTGGGGCTGCCTCTCCAGACGGCCCAGCCCAGTGTCGGGGGGGTTGGGGGGGGGAGGTGGTGTGGGAGGACAGGACAGCCTCAGGGAAGGCTCAGAGGCAGCTCCGGCCCCAAACGTGGGGCAGCCTGCTCCTCCATCCACCCTGCCTGAAGTTTCCATGAGGCCGCAGGCAGGCGGTTTGGCCAGGATCCTGCTGAATTGATGATCAGCCCCCTGGGGCTGTAATGGCTTTAAAGCTTTATAAACGGCTGTGCTTCCTGTACCCACCCCCGGCTGGGGGGGGGGCAGCCATCCCCCCTCCACTGCCTATGTCTCCTGCTGGTGGGAAACACCTGGTTGCAGAGCCAGACGGTGGCTGGCGGCCTCACCTGCCCTCCCCACCCCCAGCCTCCCCTGGCACGGACCCCAGCATCACTGCCACTGGGCTGCCATCACTGCCACCTGGGCCTCCCTCCCCAGCCGGCTGCTCTACTCCTAGGTTTCTTGTCCCCTTGCCCCCCGTCCCCTCACACAACCTTCTCCTACCCCACCCCCCCACCCCAGTGTGCCCCCTGCCCCAGTGCACACCCTCATCTGCCTGGTGCTTACTACCTGTTCTGTTCTGTCCCCAAGCTCCTGGGGTTGCCCAGGAGGGGCCAGCCCCAGTGTCCTCAGAGCCGGCTGGGGGACCATCTAGCCCAGCGCCTGCCCAGCCTGCTGGGCACCAGACCCATGTGTGTGTGTGTGGGGGGGGTGGCTCTGCTAAGGTACCGACGTCTAGGCCCCCAGCCTGGCTGCCGGGAGCTGAGTGGGGCGGGGTCTGCTTGCTTGAGAAGGCCTCTCTGGCCCCGTGACGGCCACACTGCAACTGAGCTGGCCACTGCCCCTTCCTAGAAGGGGAAGCCAAGGCCCGGGACCCTGGAGAGAGCCTGCCATCTCAGCAGGTCTCCTAGCCCCACCCCAGGGCCAGCCACCTTCCCGCCCAAACACAGCTGTCTGGGGGAGGGGGGGGGGGCGTCCTCGCTGCTCACAGGAACACGGCCTCCTCCACATCTGTTCCTCATTTCACACTCTAAGGGCTGCCGGCTTCCTGCGCTGGGCACCAGCTCCCTGAGGGGGCTCTGTGGCGCGACTGCCCCGCAGGAGAAGGCGGTCGCCCTGAGGTGGGCACGTGGCAGGAGAGCTGGCTCACTGCCCGGCCCGCAACAGCCACACAGCAGCGGGCCTCAGTGGGAGCCTTGCTGAGCAGGGGGTGGGCTCTGCCCAGGGAGCAGGGCTGCCCCTCCCTTCGGGGGCTGCTCAGCATCATCGTGAGAAATGGCAGCACTGTGGCACATGGCTCCTTTCCCAGTGAGCCCCCACCACCACCTCCCCCACCCCTCGGGCCAGCGCTGGACTGAGCCCTCTGGGGGTTTCCTCCCCTTCCAGCCTCTGAGGTCTCAGGCATTACTGGAAGCTGCCCATCAGGGACAGGGCGTGGACAAGGCAGTACCACCGTCAGGCACACACTCTCCAGGGGCTCCCGGAAGCAGATAGGGGCAGTCCCCCATGCAGGGGGAGCATCCTGTCCTAAAGGCTTGCCAGGGCCACAGTGTGGCCTGAGGGCCCAGAGTGAGCCCTAAAGGTGGAACGGACCTGGCTGCCAGGCAGCCCAGTGAGGGGTGCATGGTGAGTTGTGAGGGCCGGTGGCTGTGGGGCCACTGCCAGGAGGCAGGGGTGGAGGGCACAGGTGTGCACCCACCTGGGCTGGGCAGGGGTAACACCGCTGGCAGGCCCCCGACGTGACTGAATCTCAGAGCCTGCAGACCAGGTCGGGGGTCCAGAGGAAGCTGCCCAGTGTCTCCTGGGTCCAGGGCCATTGCCCCCCACCCACTGCAGCTCCATCTTAGCCTGTCCCTGCGGCCTGGCAGGGCCGGCCTCAGAGAAGGAGGCCAGGAGAGAAGAAGGCAGATGGCTGCGGCTACTGGCCTCTTCCTGGGCCCCGGATGTCTGGGGTCCTGGCTCCCCACCTGCCAAACCAAGGCCAGGATGGACACAGCCCCAGCTCCTGGCTGACCCTGTGGGGGCTGTAGACCGGGGCCCTCAAGGGATGAGGGGAGGGTCAATGGGCATCCCAGAAGGGGAGGGGAGGATGGGAGAGACTCATTCTGCTGAGACTGGAGTTCGGGTGTCCACTGGCAGCCCCATGGC